TATTTAAAAAAAACAAAATCTTATTAACATCCTCCCAACGTAATTTAGTATTATAATATGGTTTTTTAGTCAAAAAAAACTCCACTTTTTCTGCATTTTCTTCTGGTGCATCTGATAATATTCTTGTCACCTAAAACTTGTTTTACTCTTCATAAACAAGCATTGCAAAACATCTCTTCTAATTTTATACCAATTTCTCTTCAAAAATTGCATTAATTTCATTAACATTTTTTTCTCTTCTTTTATTTTGCATTAAAAAATAGGAGTTAAAAAAAAATTAAAGACCCTCAAATGCGTCAGTTATAGGGTCCCCAGCTCCACTATAAGATTTAATTTAGTAAAAAAATTTAATTTACAATAATTGTTTTAAGACTAATGATATATTATTTATTTTTAAAAAATAACTTTTCTTGCATTTGGTTTTTGATTCCAGAAATTCTTAAAATATAAATTTTAGAAACAGGTATATTTTGATGTTAATTTATCAACTAAAGCATGGCTACAGTAATTAACAATTCAAAGTTTATTTAGACAACTAAAAGAAATAAAGCAAAATTTGGCTTCTTGTAAATTGTAGAGTAAAATGCAGCTAATTTATGTTTTCAATAATCTTCAGGATTTTGTCCTGTAGCATTAAAATTTTAAAAATCACTATTTGTTTTGTAAATTACAAAAAATGCAAAATTTTTTATTTTATTGGCGTGAAATGTTGATAAAAGCTTTTTAAAATACTTTTGATATAAAATTTAAAAATTTTTTATCTACAGTTTTGTTATTTTTTGTATCTCTTCTATTGCAATTAGTTCTCATTTTCATTTAGTTTTGTTTTTCGTGCGTGGGTAGGAGTAATTCTTGTATTAATAGTTTTAAATGTTTGTTTACTAACATTGATTAAATTGTCACGCACCAAGGGCGCGACCATGTCCAGAGAGTGACCTCGCCTACAGCGATATTATGTTCAGAATTATATTCATTGCTCTACTTTAAATTAAATTATGTATAAAATTATTTATTTAAAAGCATCTATATACCTTTTCAAATTTTTTTTAGTGTAGGCTCATATTTGCCTTTTTTTATGAGTATAATTTTGGCATACAAATTAAAATATGATTAATTAAAGTCTTGGTTAATTAAAAGAAAAAATTAATTAAAGAGAAAAAAAATTTTATTGAAAAAGAGAGCTTTTAAAAAAATTATAATATCTTAAATCTTTTATTTTTAAAGTTTAAATGAAAAAAAGGCTGAAATGCATCTTTAAATTTAAATCAAAAAAATTATTTTAAAACCTATAAATTTGTAATTAAAAAATTGAAAGAAAAAATTTTATTTTAAATTTAAAAATTAAAATTATATGATTCTATAACTATTCAAAATATGCATAGTGATTGGCATATCAAATCTATATTAGATTACTTTTATGAACAATACAGGGATTAAGAACGTAAACAAGAACAAAATAAAAGTAAAACAAAAGTATTTGTTTTTTTTACTAGGTTTATTTATACTATTTCTTCAATACCATTATTTTCAGCTTTAATACGATTATTTGATAGAATTTCGGTTACTTTTCTGGGCATAGAATAAAAAGTGTCTAATTTTAACTTCTTTGTTTTACTATTTGTATCAGAATAATGTCAACTATATTTATATCATTAATAGAATTATGCAAGCATTTTCTGTCCATACGTGATAAATATTTTTGATTAACTATAGTTGTATCAATGACCTTATTATCATTCTCTTTAATAATTTTAATTTGTATATCACTATGATTCTCATCCGAATCAACAATGCTACTATTTATAGGACATGTTACAGTATTGAACCCATTTCTACCAAAAAATAGATTGAATGGTTAATTATTAGTTGCAGAATGCACTGCTACATTTCACTGTATTCATAAGTCACCTTATTCAAAAGCGCAGTTCAATTTTTACCGGCAGCTAACACACTGCTATACAGATGTTTTTGCAAATAACGTGTGAGCGTTAGATAAAATTATTCAATTTGAGCTTGGCTTTGTGGGTGCTTCAGCCTCCCATAAATTAAAACAATGCTTTTTCATTTACAAAAGTCAACCAAACAAGAATTTCTCGATTCCTTTCCGTTATCACATTGAATTATTTGAGGATCACTGGGTTCATAAAAAGCCATTTTAAGACACAAAAGAACCTCGGCTACAATCCTACTTTTGAGGGCATAAGTAATTGTATATTTAGAATATACATCAATACCTGTAAGTATCCAAAAAAAATCACCATTTTGTTCTGCGTAAGTCCTCAAATCAACAAGATCAATAATTAATATCTCAAAGAGCTTCTTAGCCAGAATATACTTAAACTTTTTTTTGTCTTTAGGGGTTGAGCTTGTAAGCAGATATTACACTCATTACAAGCCTCCTCCAACAGCACATCTAGGAATTGAAAAGTAAAATTGTTTGCACAACTCATAAAGACGATTCTGACCATAATGGTTTTGGCTGTGCAGTTTTTGTACTTCTATTTTCATAGAAAGCACTGTTCCTTCCACAAACACCCGCTTATACACATTTCCTGTATCTTTCAGATAAAGTAAATTATCTATCAAGATAAACAGCTCGGCCTTCCTTTTAAAGCGATACTTAGTATGTTTGCTTCCATATACTGTCGTATCCTCGCCTTTAAAGAATATTTACGATGTTATCGTATTCTTCTTGCGATTTGATAGTAGGTCTCATAATAATAATTTAAAAAATTTTTATGTGTATTAACTTCTATAAGATCAAAAGCAGATTAGTTAATAACTATAGTCAAGTTGTTATTTCAAAAAAATTTTGACAGGGTTGCGTGTTTAATTCCCATGGTGGCCTGTACAAAGGTGTCTAAACAAGCCTTTGTTTAAATTCCTGAATAAAAAGCGTCTTGCGTTTGTAAAAGTTGACGCGTAGTAATTCTATATTATATATATATTTGTATCTATCTATCAGTATTGGTTAATTTCTTGTGTGGTGTTTAATACTTTTAAAATCGTAATAAATATAGAAAAACGAATTTCTATATGTATAACATTACTACCTACATAAGAATAATCAATATAAATAATATAAGTTTTATACTACAAAGTTCAAATCAATACAATACAAGGATATGTAAGTTTGAGTTTAAAAAAATAAATAAAAAGCATATGGTCGCGCTCTGGGCACTTGACATGTATTTAAATAAATATAGATTAAAAAATAAACATTGACAACTAAACATATAAACAATAAATACAAAATATAGGTCTAAACCGTGTGGAATACCTTATTTATTTATAAAAAACACGGTATCTAAGTCTTTCTATCATTAAAATACTAGAAAGTAAGTGAATATTTTAACAAAGTACAGTGCGCATCAAAATCTTAGGACACCTAAAAAAAACTTTTTACAGTAAAAAATAAAAAAGACAAGCTTTCAAAATTATGATTCGTGTTAAATTTTTGTAATTTAAGAGTTTTAGTAAATATTTTTATTAAATATTATTCTATATAAATATAATTCGGTTTTTAGATTTTTTTGTCTTAAGAGGTATGTCAAAATCTTGAGACACCATCCCTCCTAAAAACACGTTTTATAGAATTGTAAATAATACATTAGTTTTATTTTGTTGTAATAAAGTACGGTGTGATCTTATTTTTTGACATAGGCTATTACAAAACTTTTAAAAAAAAATAATTAGTCTCACAACTAACGTGAAGTCTCATTTTACTCAAATTTTGAAATACAAAAAAACTTAAAATAATGATATCTGTTATTTAATGTTTTTTGATTAAGAAAAGTGAATTTAAATTTCTTTAACTTTTCTCAGGGACATGATGGTTTTGATATTTTTTTTAAAAAATAAGTAATTTAAAAAAAGAAAACTTATTTATTGATTTTATCATCTCTTTCTTTAAAACGTCGACCATACGCTTCTGCATTCCATTAACATATTTTAACAAATTTTCGGGTGTAATACTTGACCAGGCTACTGTTATCTCAGAATGCAAATCTTGAATATTACCATATTGTTTTCCGTCTCTATAATTATTCTCAACATATCTGCCCACAAATTTTCAACGGGATTAAGATCTGGACTTAATGGTGGCCAGTTCATACAATCAATATTATTGTTTTCAAACCATATCTTAGTTGCACAAGCTCGACGGCAAAGTGTATTATCTTATTGAAAAATATAATTAAAATCGCAATTTACATCATTTGAATTGTTACTTTTACTTTCAAAAAATATTAATAGAGATGTTTTAAGCATTCTACAATAAAAAATGCTGCTCATTTTAGTACTAAAAATTTGTAAAATCAATTGTTCACTAGAACAAAAACCAGCCCAAACCAACATGTCTCCTTCAACCAGTATACGTGTACTATATAAAATTTCATCTTTATTTACATAGTATTAATAATATTTAAACCACCTTGACCGTTTAAATTAAAATTTTTTTCATAACAAAATATTAATTTATGCCATTAACTGGGCCCATAAAACTTTTTTAAAGAAAAACTAAAATTCTTTAAAAAATAAAACATACCGTTTATTTATATTTAAATTTTATTCTTAATTTTAACAACGGTTTTTACGGTTTGATGGGATTTTTTATTTAAATAAATCAAAAATTCTTAATTGACTTTGTCGAGGTATAATAATGTTGTACATTATTGTATAAATTTTTAATATTTTTTACCCCATGCAGGAAGAAAGCAAAGTTAGTAAAAGTGTTATTGATTAAAAAAATCTAAATGAATGCGGATATGTAACTTTTTATTTGTGCCTAATTTCTACCATAATCTTTCTTATTTAACATCTATTGTACTGGCAAAAGGTAGTTTTTTTGCGAGTCTTTACGTTTTGAGGCGGATTGTATTTTATGTTTTAGTTGACATTGCAAGGTGGAGTATTTTATGTCTTAGTTGACATTACAAGATGAAGTAAAGTACAAAACATATTTTAACCTATTTATTATATCAAAGTACTTTTAAAGTAAATTAATAATAAAAATTATTTTCGTCCTCTTCTTCTAGTTCCTCATTATTAGAACCTTTTGCTTTTTTAATCTCTCCAATCTCATAAGGAAGATGTCTTTTAATTTTATTGTATTGTCTTGTAAAATCTCCTTTAGTTTTTGTCTTTACCTCTTTATACAATGCTTGTCCATCTAAAAGTAATTCAGACAAATTGACAAAATCATCTTTTATTAGATCATATTCTTTTAATAAATCTATAGCAGATTTAACATTGTTTTCTTTTAAAAAATTAAGGATCTCCAAAAAAATAATATAAGAATCGTAAAGTCTAAAATTTTCTAAACCAGAATTTACATATTTTGACACATGCCTTTTAACTTCTTTAATTATTCTTTGATGTTTTAAATATCTTGAATTTTGCCCTAACCAACTGGGAAAATCAATTCCTTTAAACAAAGCTTTATCTTTTGTGGGTAAAACTACGGTAAAAAAGCCATGAAGAGGCAAAAGACTCCATTCTTGTGTACTTCCTCTTATTAATTTTTCGACTACATCTCCGCTAGAAATGGATTCTGATGATTTATAAAAATCAATAAGATTTGCAAATTTAAGTTTCATATAATTTTCTGCTATAAAAAGCGGTATTAATGAATAATCTTCAAAATATAAATCTGTTTTTTCGTTTATTGACTTACCATGAAAACATTCTGATGCTATTTCAAATACGCTTTTTAAGATAGTCTTCTTTGTGAGACTTGACATTAAATTAATATTAATTTTATCGTTAACGCATATTCGTTGAATATTATTTAGAATATAACGAATATCACCATGACTTAGAGAAATAACTTCGTTAATAATATTATCTCCTAGTACTTTATTTTCATGTTTAAGTATTACTTTAATTCGAGGTACAATCTGTCTACTATCAGGTTTTCTAAATTTAAGATCTAAACAATTATTAGCCAATGTTCTAATTTTTATATTATTTCTGTCATTGCAAATACATACAATTGGTATAATACTTTCTTTAATAAGATTATTAAGTTCTACTAGCCCACCTCTATCACTTGTCATTCCATCTACCTCATCCATCAAAACAATCTTTTTTTTTAATTTAAGTCCTTTAGAAATTCCCTGCGAGTTTATTATTCCTTTAACTTTTTTAACCAATAAAGATTTATTACGCACATCACTTGCATTAAACTCTACTAGATCCAATCCCAGTTCCTTACATAAAACATGTACAGAAGTTGTCTTTCCTATACCCGGCGATCCACTTAGCAATGCACCTCTATTCTTAGTTTTTCCAAGCATAAAATCTGCAAGCGAGTCTATTACAGAACTATTGCCTATCAGATCAGACCGTTTCTTAGGCCGATATTTTTCAGACCACATATTTGTGTAAGTTGTTGCCTTTTCAGGCTCAATTATTGCATTAATATCTTTAGATTTTTGTATCGATTCTTCAGGTGTATCAAAAACAGATGCCTCATCAAAATCAGAACTGATTTGATCTGCTTCTGTTGTCATTCCGCCATTATTCTGATTTAAAACATTAGAAATATCATCACTTTGTAAACATTCATTAAGATTTGTCGTAAATTCTTGCTCATAAATAATCTTAATATTTAAATCCTGTGCTTTTTTTAATTTTACTGGTCCTGGTTCTGCACCTACCACTAAAAAATCTGTCTTTTTTGATGGTGCTATTGTGACTCTGCCGCCCAGGAGAATTACTTTTGACTTTGCATATTCCCTATCCAATGTAAGTTCTCCTGTAAATACGAATGTTTTGTTTTTAAAAAAATCTTTCATTTTTTACGGTAAGAAAATTAAAAACTTTATTTAAAGAGAACGTCTTGCTTTCATACTCAACTCCCAATTAAATTTTAACTTAAAAATAATTGTATTTCTTTGCCCATTAAATGTTTGTTAGTAGAAGTAAGGGAATTCATAATCACATTGACAATATTGGTTTAACAGAAAAAGGGGAAATAAGCGATAATTTATCCAGTATCGTTGATCAGTACGATGCTAGAAGAGCATCTGGAATAATTGTTGATCTAGTAAATTCAAATAAATTCGGTGGAAAAGTTTTTCTTATAACTGGTCCTAAGGGATGTGGTAAAACCGCCTTAACAGTTGCAATAAGTGAAGAGCTAGGAAATAAGATCCCTTTTGTAAATATATCAGGAAATGATGTATATTCTTCAGAGGTCAAGAAATCAGAAATGTTAGATGAATATTTAAGAAAAGCAGTTATGGTAAGTATAAAAGAGTATAAACATATTTACGAAGGAGAAGTTGTTGACATACAAGATGCTAAATTGGACCTTAGATCTTCAAAAGGAACTAAAACGCTGCAACTATCAAAGGAGTTAAAGGATCAAATGATCTTTCAAAATGTGAAAGTGGGAGACGTTGTGCATATCGATTCGTCTTCTGGTATTTTTAAACGAATGGGTAGAGGAGAATCTTATTTAAATGATTATGACCTAGAAGCCGATAAATATGTACCTTTGCCGAAAGGAGATATTTACAGAAAAAAAGAGGTTGTTTTTAATACAACTTTGCACGATTTAGATGTTTCTAGTGTAAATCCTACAGGACAGGACGTTTTGTCTTTAGTTCATCAGGTTGTAAAAAATAAAAAAAGCGAAATTACAGAAAAGTTAAGACAAGACATTGACAGTTATGTAAATAATTGCAATTTTGCAGAAGTTATTTATGGTGTTTTACTTATAGAAGATGCTAATTTGCTTGATATAGAATGTTTTACTTATTTAAATAAAATAATTGACACAGGAAGAGGACCTACTATCATTCTTACAAGTAACAATATAGAGGAGTCTAATGATAGCTTATATTTTGGTATTCCTAGACAATTTTTGCAAAAATGTCTTATTATTCCTATTAACAAAAATAAGAATGAGTTTGAAGTTATTAAACGTAGGCTTGCTAAAGAGAATTTACAAATTTCGGACAATGGATTAAAAGCTTTGGAAAATCTGACTCTAAATTTTGGTATAACCTATACTGTAAACATTATTAAAATGCTTAAAGGATTAGGAGAAAGTATTACTGAAAAGGATATAGAAAAGTTAACTTCTATTTTTAAACTCAATTAAATTATTATTCTTATTTATTACTGATTTAATGATATAACGACAGAAATAAAAGGTGGTCTGCCTAAAAAGAAAATTTTATACTTAGTTACGAAATTTGAATAATTAAGTTAACTTCAATTGAACACTAAATAGACATAAAATTTATTTTTTTTAATTTTTATAAATCTGTAGATAATTCTTAAAAAAACATCTTAATAGTTAGAAAGAACCTCTATGCATGTAAATATCACACTTATTTAACAATTTTTTTTATTTATGTATGCTTTAACATATTTTAAAACATGGTTTACCGTTAAATGTTATACATTTAAATGCTTTAAAATTTTACAACACATTAAGACTTAAAAAGTATTATGTTTTCTATAATTTAAAATAAATTTGTTTTAAAAAAAGTACACACAAACTTATTAAAAACGTATTTTATAGCGATAGATTCTAATAATAATCTTAAAGATATCTTTATATACTTTTAGATTTCTCATAAAAAATTATTTTTAAAAATTTTGTAACCCCAATAAAATGATTTTATGTTACAAATGTGGGATTCCAACTGAATCAACCGAATATAAACTGTGTATTAGATGTACAACTACAACCATTACAATATCAGAAAAGCTAAAAAAATTTATTAATGTTGACTGGTGTAAAGGATGTGAAAGATATTTGAATAAGCCAAAGACTTGGTCAAAATATGAATGGGGCTCTAGAGAGCTATTGATCTATTTAATTAAATCTAATACCAGTCTGAATTATTTTGAAATTCTTGATTCATGTTTCGATTATACAGAAGAACATTCAAAAAGAATGAATATACAGGTTTTATTAGAGGCCAATGGTATAAGAGAGAATGTTGAAATTAGATACACAATTAAAAATAAACAATGTCCTGATTGTGAAAAAATTGAAGCAAAGCAGCACTGGAAAGCAGTTGTACAAGTTAGACATAGAATGGAACACCCTAGAATTTTTATTTTACTAGAACAGTTAATTATAAAAAATAAACAGTATTTAGATACAACTAACATAAAAATGAGGAAAGGTGGCATTGATTTTTATTTTACTGATCGTACATGTGCATATAAATTAGTTAATTTTATTGAAAGCGTATTACCCGTTAAAATTATTTTGTCGGAGCGGTTAATTAGTAAAGACATTCAAAATGCTAAATCAAATTACAAGTTTTCTTTTTCTATTGAAATTGCTCCTTTATGTACTGACGATCTTGTTATTTTAGAAAAGTCTTTTGCTCACAGTCTTGGAATTAGTAATATTGTATTGGTTAAAAAAATCAGTACAAATATTATTTTGTTAGATCCATATCTTTGTAAAGAAGTAAAAGTCAGCAATTTGTCTTATTGGAGCAATAAAGACAAATTTAAAGTGTTAATATCATCTAAAAAGTTTATTAAATTTAGTGTTTTAGAAATTGATAGAAAACCAATACTAAACAATGAGTCATATAAACTTGTCTCACTTTCTGTTTTAAAAAATGATAGTACAGAGATTATTGAAACTAGAACACATCTTGGTAAAACTATTAAAGAAGATGATATTTTACTTGGATATGATTTAACAAATTTTAATACTTCCATAGAAGACGATAATATGCCTGATTACTTACTAGTCAGAAAGAATCCAGTAAAAAATATTAATTGGAAGGTAAAGGTTACTTCTGATGAATACTACTATTTTTTAGATGATATAAAAAAGGATAAAGAAATTGTTAATAATTTATGTGAAATGCCTGTTGAAAATAAAGATTTAATAGAAAATTTAGAAAAATTATTAAATTATTAGATTTTATTTTTTGCAATAATATCCCCTATGTCTGATTTACAAAATAAACTAAAAAAAATACAACAAGATAAATCAAAAGATGATAAACAATTAGAAGCAGAGGATATTGATGAAATAATAGAATTTACACTGTCACAAAAACATAACGATAGAGAGACGTATTATAAGCCTAATTATTTAGAACAGATTATACCTGATTGTTATAAAAGTGTAAAATTTGATGATAAAAAATTTGATTTGTACAACGAAGAAATATTATTTTATATTTTTTATACATTTCCAAGTGATGAAATACAAAAGCTTGCTTTTTTAGCTCTTATAAAAAAAGGTTTTTTATATTCTAAATTTTATAGATGTTTTGTACTTTTTAAAGGCGAAAAACAAGTTGATAATTCGAAAAATATTTTAAATATGTTTGATCCATTTAATTGGTCGATGATTAAGAGAGAGGTTGTTTATGATGAAAAATTTATTTTATCTCTTGAAAGTAAATTATAAATTGTAGATTAAAATTCATTTTTAGTGCTATTTTTTTATTTGAAGAGTCGTTTACTATCTTTTTTGTTTTTCTAAATATTATCATAGCCAAATAATTTTATGCACACATTAATTCAACTATGTCTTCGCAAGAATAGTATTGTTATATATGTCAAATTTATTGATATTTTGTAATATATTTGATATAAAAACAATAAATTATTTTCAAGTAAATAAACAGACGTTTAATTTTAACAGTCCTAACTTTTTAACCGCATGTTTTCTGTTAAAAGCAAGAATAAGTTTTAAAAAGCGTTAAATAGTTTATATTAAAAAAATTGGCGACACTTCATTTTTCCTCCCTTCTCCGAATAATTACGTACAGATTTTAAAAAAGTGTACGTAATTATTCAGAGGGAGTGGGAAGATGATGTAAAGATTAAAAAAAATATTTATTAACTCTTTTTATTAACCGGTAACAAGAGAAAATTTAATGATCTCATCTTTATAAACAATACCAAGACAATAGAACTCTTCTTAAAATAACTTATTTATTTAAGAGACTAAACTGTAATAAATGGTGATAGGATGGGCTTATGGTAGCTGCCACGTATATAGACGAGCATGCTTACGGATATTCTTCTAAGTCATGCAGATCAAAGGCGAGCCTAAAGAATCGGTCAAAAATGACATCCTTAAATATAGAGTTTGTAAATATTCTTAGGGGAATGTATTGCTGAATATATGATTATACTCTAGCACAGGCCACTGATTGCTGTAATTGTTTGAAGAACACTTACATTAAGATCAAAGGTTTGATTTTAGCAAGTAATATTTGAACAATAATTAGAAGGAGTAAAAAAAGTTGGAAAAGGTATTAAAATGCAATTATACGAAAATCCCATATGTAATCGGGAGTTAATATCTAACCCATCTAGCATCTTAGACAACAAACCCAACTTACAATAGTTAGAAAGGGATTGGAAGAGGGAAGCTGCAAGAATTTTGTTTAGAAATCTGCTTTATATAGAAGAGTTCCGACTATACTAAACATATTCGAAGAACATGTTGTACCCGGATTAAACAATATTGTTGATAATTATCTATCTTACCCCAAGGCTGTAGCTGTATTTGGATTTGGATCTTACCATGAAATAGTAAACCATCCAGTTGAATTTGTTAATGCTCAAGAAGCACATACAAACTAAATTGAATATCTGTGGTCACATCTTAAGCATGCTTATCGAAAACGTGGTGGCTAAATAAAGGAAGAATATAATTTTTATAGAATAGCAGAGGAGGAAGCATAAATTACTAAAAATTTGCTAATAGGACGCTTAGAACTGCATTGTATAAATTATTTAAATAAATTTTTAGTCAATCATTATTGAAAAAAATAAAATATTTTTTTAAAATAAAAGAAGCGGGGTGGAAAGATGAAGTAGCGCCAAAAAATCGATTTAAACATTTATTTTTTAAATCTTACTAATGCTTGCTGAGATGTTATACATATTAGTGTACCATCTTCTGTACACATTTTTCCTTCAATATTAGCTTTACTTTCATGAATATTAATACACTCTAAAATATAGTAGATAATTTTGTCCTTAGGCACTTTTGATGTTACAAAATACAAATTGTGATCCACAGACGATATTTTATGTAACTCTTTACTAAAAATATTCATATTTAAAGATAGTAGGGCTGATTCAACGATAAGTAAATCTGACACCAAAGTCATAAATAAGTAAAAGTCACGTTTCGATATATTATTTTTCAAAATGTTAATTTTTATTTGTCTTTTATTATTTCTAAATCTACCTATTTTTATTTCAAATGAATGATTTAGTACTCCTAAATTTTCAACTAATAAGTTATATTGCTTGTTTATTAACTCAGTATCATAATTACTTTTACTCAAATTGTGCAGAATATAGTCATTTATTGGTACAAAAACATCTTTTTCAATAATTTGTATATTTTTATAATCTCGGTCTTTAGAGTCACCAAGAGTACAGCAGATTGTTGTTTGTACCAAAAACTTACCATTTTGTTTTCCCAGAATATTTCGCATCTGTAATGTCTTACCATCTTTAATGTTCTGAACAGTGTACTCTACAGGACATGATGGATCACCAGGATTTAAGAAAATTGAGTGAACAAAATTAGGACTGGATTGTAAATTTACAGTAAATAAACCAGCACACAAAGACTGGGCAGCGAGCTGTCCTCCAAAAATAGGATAGCCAGGAAATGGAGACCATAATTCTGTACCCTCATAAGTATTATTATCCAATTTTTTAAGATTTAAAAAGTCCATTAAAAGGGCAATTTTAATTAAACAAATATATAAAATATCTTATGAAAAAGGCGAGGGCGATATTGAAATGATGCAAAGAAATAAAAAGGAAGAACTATAAGATTTGAGTACTTTAATGTAAAACAGAAGAATGTTTTATTAAATAAATTGTAATTACAACTTCTTTATCATTTATATACAGCTTTGCTTATAAATCTAAAGATCCAAATAAACCTTTTAATAAAAATAATCTTTAATAAACAGATTTTGTTTATTTGACAGTTTGTTCATATTTTTAATCAACACTATTTTAAAAATTAAACAATTAACAAATATTTAATATATTTTTACTAAATTTTTAGACATTTACTTAGTAATGTATACAAAAGTTTTTATAAAGTTTGTTTTTGATACTTTTTAACAAATTTTTGTAATTAAAACTATTTTAATAAAATAAGAATATAACATTGTAATGCGACCTTTAAATATTTAATATAGTTTGCTAATTAACAAAGCTATAATTTAAATGCAATAAATCAAAAGACCTTCTTGTAAACAACATAGTTTTGATGGTAATTAAATGTTAAACACATTAATACTTAATAAAAATAAATGTTACATTATTTTACTATTCATGTATACACATTCCATATTAATGCGTATAGAAACAATTAGCTAGATTACAAATAGTTTATTTTTTTAAAAAAGTTACAATAGCAGTTGTAAACTAAATTAAAAATTTATTAAAAAACATAAGCATCTGGATCAAAAACAATTAAGCATAGATCTAAAAAAATGTTAAAAATCAAATGGCATTTATTTTTAAATAATTAGTAGGTTCTAGAAATACTAATAGATGTAAATAAAAACGCGTTTAATTTTTAAATTACATTGGTCTTTATTTCTCTGCCGTTTCACTGATCTCTTTAATTGATTTTGTTTTCTTTATTGAATCTAAAATAACTGTACTAACATCATCAAACATTTCAGATGCTGTAAATTTCAAATCATTGTCAAAATGAATATTGTAAAACCTTGTCTCCAAATTAAATTTAATGTGCTGCAAGCTATAAGCACTTTTATTTTCATTTATCTGCTCGGCCCAAAGACACAAACAAAAATGATATTCAGGATTAAAACGAGCAAATGAACAGCTTAGTTCATAAATATACGGAGAGGTTATAAATTCTTCTTTAAGCTTATCTGGTTCAACATACGCACCAAGTTCATTGTAAAGCTCTTTTAGTGAATATTCAGAAATAGGTTCAAACATTTGAGTGGTTATTTTTTTATTAACTTCACACAACACAACTGAAATAAGTTCGTTTTTTGGTACATTAATTGTAAATGCCAAGTATATCTTTGTCCACGTCTCAGATTTATTGCTTAAATATAATACATGAGCTATGCAAATTTGTAAAAATAAATGGTAAATCATTAAAGGGCTAAATGTTTATTTTTTTTATATCAAAAAATTTTAGACTAAAATTTCCATAAATTTGATTCTAAATAATAAAATGTTGTATTATTTACTAATAAATTTTCTTTTAAACATTAGCTTTATTTAATTAAAAAATTATTAATTCTTTAGCAAGAAAAAGTATTATTAAAAACAAACAAAAGATATTAACTTAATAATTTATATTATTGAAAAAGGCAACGATAAAATAAAATGTTTAAATGATATTTTTACAAAAAATAAATTTAATAAAAAATATATTTTAAATTAATTTTTATGGATTACAAACAAAGTGTTAATCATATTCACTTTGAATTCGTTTTTTGAAACAAATCAAAAATATCAAATTTGTTGTCGTCATAAAAATTTATTTTATTAAATATTTGTAACCTTTTTTCTAAAAATTTGATTTTACATTTTAACTGTTAAACACAATTTTAATGTATAAAATTACATAACATAAAGTAGGTCACTTTATTGGTGTATTTTAAATCAAATGTCTGTCTTGATCATAAGTTAAAAAAAAGTTATCTTTGAATGTCAAGAGAAAGAGTATATTAAATAAAAATTTAGAATTACAAAAAAACAACATTACTGCTATTATTGGCAAATATACATCAACATTATCAAAATATTTAAAATTTAAAAATATTTTAATCTGTGTAATATAATGTCTAATCCTACATTAATTTAATGAAATCATTTATAATATACCATTAAAATATCACGCGTATTATTAATTTTAATTTAAGTATTGGTAAATTTCTAGCATAAGTATGCTCATAGTTTACCTAAAATAATAAATAAGAAAATCATATAATAAGTATGAGCCAGAGCAATACTAGTTTTTATTACTTCCTAAATCTGCAAGTATCCTACCAATAAAAGTCCTTACTCTAAAAAAACTTTAAATCAATAATATACGGTTCTTTCAATAGCATCATTGAGTGCTTTCTTGACACAAGCACAATCCCTGGCAAACAGGTTAATATGCGAATTTTCCTGTTATTTTTGTCTTTTAAATACTTAAAAAAGTTATAAGCGTTTTTGACCAAATTAAATTACAATCTAAATCATTATCATTTCATTTTAAGCCTTAATAAAACAACAAAATTTTTACCTAAACTATAAATGTCCTAACACATTTTATTTTAAATTGTGTTATGGTATTTTTTCTTTTTTGATTTGTAAAAATACATTGTGTTGAATCGAAGAGAAGATCAGTTTAGTGAAACGACACAGTTTTAGTGTAAACGGTTGTGATAGGTATTTTAAGTATTCTGGTCTTTATACATCAAGACTTCGCAGGTTATTGGTCTTTAATAAATATAAAATAATTCTTTATCAATAAAGATGTTTTTAGCTAACTCCAATACATTGTATTTTTTAAATCAAAGTTTTTGTAAAAATATTATTATTTTGATTGTATCTAAAAATACCTAAAATAGACATTTTCACCATACTTTTCTTATTAATTATCTTAGATGAATTTACAAATATGTTATCAAAAGGCTTTTAGTTGGTGCATTATTTTTGTATTTCCTTTTTTTTGTAAACAATAGACTGTAATTATGTTAAAAGAGATAATAGATAATTGCAAGATAAAAATAGTGTTAACAAATAATAAAAATATTATTTTTTTTAGATACAATCCTTTCAATGTTCTAATATTTTATGCCATTTTTTATTATTTAATTATTTTTTCCCTGAAAATGAAAAATAGAATAAAAAGATTATGGGCTATTAGTACATTGTCTAGATTATTTTACACACTACAATGTTATTTAGCTCACAAGATATTACCCAATTTTGACAAATCATCAGATTACTTTCTTAAAAAATGGGATTCTTTTTATTTTACTAATATTATGGTAAGTGGATATACAGCTGAACACCATATAGCATTTTTCCCTTTATTGCCTTTACTAGGTAGATACTTTAGTATATTTTTGGGATACAAGTTCGGAGCTTTTATTTTTAACTTAATATTATTTTATGCTAATACTTTTCTTTTAAATGAAATTTTAAATTATTTTGTAAGTTATAAAATATCCAAGTATAGTACCTATTTCTTTATTTTTAATCCTGCCTCTATAATAATGATAGCATTTTATACTGAAACATTGTTTATGTTCTTATTTCTTCTATGTGTGTACGGTTTATTAAATAAGAAAAAATTAATGCCAGTATTTATGATATCATTGTCATGTCTTTGTAGGTCTAATGGCATATTATTTTTAATATTGGTTTTAGACAATAATATATTTACAAATTTTTTGTATATTTTAGTAGTCTGTATACCTATAAGTGTTTACCAAGTGTACTGCCTATCTAAAATTTTTCAGTCACAATATCTAAATCAAGTAAAAAGTCAATCTTTAGATGATCTCATTGGTAAAAAATTACATTTAAAATTATTTGTACCATATTCTTATGTACAGCAGAAATATTGGAATCAAGGATTTCTAAAGTTTTATACTTTAAATAACTTGTCTAATTTTCTTATTGGTATTCCATTTGTATTATTTTCTTTTTATATTATTTATATTGGTTTTAATATTAAATGGAAGAATAATAAACTATGCCAGAAATTAATATTTATATTAGGAATACAGACACTTATGTCTGTATTCTTTCTTCATTTAAATATGTATTTTAGATTTATAAGCTATAATCCGGTTGTATATTTAATAATGGGATATTTATATAAAGAGAGAAAAAATAAGATTATAAAACTTTATATGAGGTTTTATTTGGCATTCAGTGTTGCATATGCTGTATTATTTGGTGCTTTTTATCCTCCTGCATGATTTAATTAAATTTTATACAAATAGTTGATTAAATATCTTTTAAAAATATTATTTAGACATAAAAACTTTCTTAAAAATTTTTATATTTTAACATAAAATGTTTATTTATTTTGCTTTCTTTCTATGTATTCTTGTCTGTAAAAATAAAGATATTGCTGTTAACATAAAACTTAAAGCTAATCCTTCTAATTCTAAATTTTTCATCCCTAATTTGTACTTACTTAATATTTCTATACCATTTAATATTATTAATGAAGAATAAAAAGCAGCTATTAACACACAGCACACTTTTTGTAATCTTCCTACACTGTAAAATGTCACTGCGACAACAGTTATCATCACATATTTATAAAATGAAACGTTTAAATATTCGTTATATTTATGTGTTACACTAAGAAGAGCAATGGCCGCTAATATTTTTAGAGATAATTTTGTAAAATATATAAGTATATATGTAACTACGTAAGATGTTATAATAAATCGTAGAAAGTTATCCGTAAGATAATTTACAATTTCATTGTCACTGTAAATTTCACCTAAAAATCTTACCATAGATGAGACTATAGGGAATAAAGAAAGAAAGGCACTTTTACTACTAAAGAAATATAAAAACACTGCTATGATTATACTCCCTATTAAGTAATAGTTATTATTCTCCATAACCAATCTTTGTGTCTCGTAAAATGTCTTGAGTATATTAATTAAAATCATATTTATTTACAAACAAAATAATTATAAATGTTAGTAAATATTTACTATTGTTTCAAAATAAATAAACAAAACTTTTATAAATAAAAATTAAGCTGATATTTGCCACCTAAATTTTTTTATAGATTTGATGTTATATTGGTTTTTAATTTTTTTAATTAAATATTCCAATTTTTATTATATTTTTTTATAAAGACTTAGTTAAAATTAATAAAAGATACTATATTGTAAAATTATAAACGATGACAAATCTAAAACATAAACAACGAAATTTTTTAAGTATAAACATAACAAATCAAAATTTTTTTATATTTAAATTCTAATTTATTAACTCTCATTAAATATGTATTGAACAATATAATAAAGTAAGTACTATTTAAAGGTAAAATGCCTTTAAAATAAGTAAATTAAAAAGACATTCATTAATCGCTATTTTAATCTAGTCATAAGAACAATTTGAATTGTAAGGAATTAAAATATTATTTTCTATTTTTTAACTTGTTCAGCAAACTATTTAAAATTATCCATGTATATTCGTAAACATTTACAATATTTTTTTACCCATGATTTTTACAAATAGCAAGGAAGACTTGGCTCTTAAAGATATTTTTAAAGATACAATCTCAATATACACTTACAAAGATACTAAAGCATATCAAATATTTTTTAAAAATAAATATTATGAATTTATTATAGATAAAGATTACCCTACAACACCACCCATTTCTTCTATTAAGCTTGGTGAAGATGTATTTAAAAAATATAAAAAAAACATAAATATTTTTTCGTTTTTTTACGAGTGCATAAAAAAGGAAGAATTAAATCTTGATAAATCTGACGAATACACTTCTATTATTGAATATGATACTATTGACAAAATTACAGAACAACAATTTCAGGATTATAAATTAAAACATCCTACAGTACATGTACAAAGGGAAGGTCTGAGTGGTAAAGAAATATTTTTACAGGATAAAATAAGAAAAAATGTCTAGATATTTTTATTATAAAAACCTCAATACAAAATACACAATTAAAAAAATAGTTAATCCATAAAATAATAAACTTACAATACTGTGCGAATTTCTATCTTTTTTTATTTTTTTTATATTCTCGCTTGTATCTGTAATATTTTTAGATATTTTATGTGACACACGATCTAAGACATCCTTGTCAAAAATAAGACCGTTATAAAGCCTTTTTGCTTTGTCTTTAAGAATCTGTGTATTTTTTAAAATATCTTCTTCTACATCACTGTACTGATCAGATTTTATAGTTCTTTGCTTAAGTTCTATTATTTCGTATGTATCATAAAGATTATCAAGTCTTTGTAATATTTTATTTTTTAAGTCTATGTCTTCAATGTCTTCAGATATTATTTTTAATGCGAGTTTATTACTTTCTATTTTTGCATCTAAATCTTCTACATTTTTATGCTTTTCTTTATTTTGAATGTAATCTACTGTTTGGTTTAGTAATTTAGTAAAATATTCTTGGTCGAACATTTAGGGCTATTTTAATAAAACATTTTAAATAAGAAATGAAGGAAACAGAACATTAAATGTAAAAAAAAATTAAAAAAAATACAGCTATTTAATATTTACTTGTATTTGTAAAAGTATTTGCTTTAAACTATTAAATATAACATTTTTAGTTTTGCTATTGACTTAAAATGAAAGATATTTAAAATAATCAGAACGTTTTCTTAAATTTTTTTTAGCATATAACAATAATAATTGAAATTTGTGTAGACATTTTGCTTTTGTATGTTACATTTAATTTCGTTGTACACTTTTAAATATTTATAGCTCTAAATCTCGATATGTCGTGGCAAAGTAAAAAATATAATTAAAGATTACAAAAATTTTTAAAAATATGTTTAAAATTATGTTTGTTACGTTATGTTTTCTAGCACCACTTCTGTGAGTAGCACGGAACCTCTAGCGTAAAATCGAAAAAAAATTACATCTGTTATTCTCCATAACGAATTAATAGTTTTAATTGATTTAACAAATTTTATTTTACAAACTATTTTCTTATAAGGATAGTTCTATCTGTTGCTTAGTTTTAAAGAAGTCTTTTACCTTAAAGCTTTCATTTTTCTTCCATGTAAGAGTTGAAGTCATGTCATATGATATTTCTTCAAATATTTTGTCTAGCGTGTAATTCTCACTATTTTCATTTTGCAATTCCCTCATAAAATAATAAGAAAGTTCATCTGCGGTGTAGACACCCAAGGTATCACTTTTTGACACACTCAGGGATGGTTCACCATGCACACTTGTAGTGACTAAATACATATTTTTTATATCTCTAGAAATTATACTTTCTGCCTCACATGTGTCAAGTATAAAAAATATTTTATTTACTCTTTTAGAAAGTATTCTAAGACTCCTCATTAAATCTTCTTTTGTAAGCCACTCTTTGTCGTAAAACTTTATAGCACCATCACATCCGTGCCCTACCATGTATATAAATATATTATCTTTACACGTAATATTTTTTAGTTCATTTATATTGCATCTTAATCCATTCAATACGTCATTGACAGTGTATCCTTTAGATGTTAACTTTTTATACTTAAGCTTTTCTTTTTCATTTACATGTACTGTTTCCGGTACTAAATTTCTTTTATCCTGAAAAATATCTTCGGGAAAATATGTAATAATATTAGAAGATGGTGTACTATATAATCTTAATAAGTCATACATAATATATAAATCTGTCATATGTCTATAATTATGGAATCCTCTAGATGTATTAATTAAGATTGAATATGTATCTGATTTAATTAAAAGGAAAAAAAATAAAAACATTAAAGGGCTAAAAATACAAATAACACTAAAAGAAAAAAAATAAAATCATCAAAGGATTAAACGGATATTTAATGTATAATGTGATCATCTAAAAATTTTACTACTCTTCTTTTTCTATTCCGAATTGCCTTTCTTAATATTGGATCTTCTACGTCATAATCTAAATCATATATTTTTATATGATCTTTCTTATATAACATAAATATAACACTTTCTTTTAGATATTGTAACCAAGTAAACATTTTTCTAATAATTGACATTTATTTATTTTTATGTTTTTAAAATAATTGTTTTTATTTTTAAAATTTTAACCCTCAAAATGAGATTATTTGTATTTCTAACTACAAAATTGCATAAATATATATTTGGGAGATGGAAGGATATTTTTCATGAAGCAATCGTAATTAATAAATAGAATGTGTACTGGTGAATTAAATAATTTTATATTGTTTATTATTGTACTATATTTTCTTTATGTAAATCCTTTAGTATTATTTTCTATATGTAAATTCTTAATTATTTAAATTATGTAAATTCTTAGCTATTTCTTTCTTTATGTAAATCCTTTAGTATTATTTTCTTTATGTAAATTCTTAAATATTATTCTCTTTATGTAAAATATGTAATATTTTATACTACATTTCATTTTTTTTATTAATCACTTTATTTCTCCTTTTTCTAAATTATTTTTATTGGTCATCCTGTAAATATATATTTATTATTTCGAGTAGAACATGACAACTACTGCTTTTAAAAATTTAAGGGCGATTATACAACTAATTAGTGTACTATTAATATTAATAAATATTCCAATACCAGCTGTACTATTGTATAACACTAGATTTACAACAATAGAAATAGATAACTTGAACTTGGGATATTTATCCCTATCATTTTTGTACAAGGTGCTTTTAATTTTTAATATAACACTAGGGATGTTTGCTAGTTGCGGAACGAATAGTAAAGTTAAGTTCTACATGAGATTGTATCTGTTTTTTACATTTTTGTTTATGTTGGGTCTTATAACTTATATTTTATATGTAAGAAATTTCTATCAGAATCATTTACTTACTACTTACACGACTAAAACAGCTTTATCTGTACAACAGAAGGTTATTATGTCCAGTTTATTATTTTGTTCTACAGGTATAGATTGTGATAAAATACTAAAAGAGAGGAGTGAACTATTTATAAAGATATACTTAAGTATAGGATCCTTATCCTTTATATTACATTTTATAAGTTTTGTGCTAATAAAAATCGCTGTTAATATTTCAATAGAAAAACCTCATGAAGGCCCTAAGTTTGTAACAATAACAAGGGCGGGTATGAACACTGAATCATTAAGGAATAAGAGAGTAATGAATATTGAGGAACCTGCCGTGGTACAATCTTGCATTATATAGATTAAATGACTTAGTATATCGATAAATTTAAAATATTTTATAATTATGTTATGTTGTTTTATTAGTATATTTCTATTACACAGTAAAATATAGAATGACTTACTTATTTCTTTTTACAATTTTAAAAATTCATGCTTTATTAAATTATTTAACAATTCTTATATTATAATGTATATTAGTCTTCTATAGTTTTTAAATGTACAACTACCATTTTTATCTACTTTATTATTTCCTTTATTTTTACCCCCATGTCATACGAGAATAATAATAGAAACTGGTCAAATGACAATAATGATTCTAAAAGATCATATCAAAGAGACAGAAGAGGATTTAATGAATATCAGGATGCTAGACTTAATCAACAAAAAAGAGTGAGAGATGAATTTGCGCAGAGAAGACACTATAACTCTTCTTATTCTCAAAATAGAGGATTTTATCCTCCAGAAAGAAGTTTTTATTCTCCAGAAAAAAGATTTCCTGAGCAAAGACGTCGATATCAAAATTATCAACCAATGTATTACGATAATCGCCCAAATCAAGCAAATTACGATAATCGCCCAAATCAGGCAAATTACGACAATCGACAACATCGAGTAAATTATGAAACTGGAAGGAGAACATTTGATTACCAGAGAAGCCACGATATGGCTTATAGAAGGCCTATAGGTGGTGTTAAAAGAAGTTATAAAAGATCAAAAGAACAGCTTGATAAAGAACTAAGTATTTATATGGCTGCTGGAAAATAAATAATCATGTTTTTTATACATTTTAAAGACTTATTTAATATTTGACACAGATTAATTATACATTTTAATTAAAATATATGACTCATAAAACACTGTTTATTTTTAAGAATCTTTTAACATAAACTGCTGCAACTATATACAAACAAATGATTTATTTCTAACATTTAATTCTTTTTACAACGATGAACTCTGTTCATTAATTTGTATTAAATTTACCATTTTCCGTAAATTTATTATTTCTAACTCGGATGGAGATACTATCTCAAATACAATTTTTCTTTTTAAAAAATCTTCCATCCACTCATATTCATTTTCGAGTGGCATTTTATGCAGAAAATTAAATATTTTAAGTGAATTTTCCTCATTGATTTTTATTTGTTCAAATTGTAATGGCCCTTGTGATTTGATAAAATCAATTTGAGATTTTAGACACTTAATATTTGTAATCTCAGGACTGTCTAATTTATTTTTAATAGCTTTTAATGTAGAAGTCACGTATTCCTTTCTTTTTAATAAATCTTCTTGGTATACTTTACTGTACTTTATTTGTTTACTTTTCATATCTGCTATGTAATTTAATAAATAGTTATACAATGTTTCTTTATATTTACTTTTTATTTCTTCTATTTTATAAACAGGTACATAATGTTTAGTAGGTTTATATGGCTGTGGAATAGGAACAAGAGATTGTAATTCTGAGTTAATGTCCTGTAAAATATTTATTATTCTCATTTTAAGGGTAGATTTTAAATAACAAATAGTAAATAATATTAAATGTGATTTATTAATCTTTGTATATTTATAACTGGGAAAAAGTGTTTATGATAGATTATTATTTGGTAGATAAAAATACAGTTAAACTGAAAACTACTTTAAACAAAGAACTTGTACAAGATGTTTATAGAAATATGTTAATTCTACGTCTTATCGAAGAATATGCTAACTCTAAGTATAAAAAAGGAAATATAAGAGGCTTCTGTCATTTAGTAATAGGACAGGAAAACATTTATATGAGTTTACAAAAGGTACTAGATAAAAATGATAAAGTCATAGGATCTTATAGATGCCATGGATTAGCATTTATTTGTGGAATCAGTATAGAAAGTATTATAGGGGAATTATTAGGAAAGGCTATTGGTAATTGCAAAGGAAAAGGAGGATCGATGCATTTGTATAATGACCAATTTTATGGGGGACACGGTATAGTAGGTGCGCAGGTATCGCTTGGTACAGGATTGGGATTTGCTTTACAATATAAAAAAGTAAAAAATGTAGCATTTGTATTTTTCGGGGATGGTGCTGCAAATCAGGGACAGGTCTGGGAGTCGTTCAATATGGCTGCATTATGGAAACTTCCTGTGGTTTATGTATGTGAAAATAATCATTATAGTATGTGGACACCTGAAAGTAATTCCACTACATATCCTGAATATTTTAAAAGGGGATATAATATTCCAGGTATACGTCTTACAGATAAAAACATAACTCAACTGATTGATGTATTTACATTTGCTAGACAACATGCAATAGAAAAAGGACCTATCATCTTGCAAATTGATACGTACAGGACATGTGGGCACTCCTGTTTAGATGTTAACGATTTTTACAGATCCACGGAGGAAATTAATGAAAAAAAAAATAATGACTGCCTTAAAGAAGCAAAAAATAACTTACAAAAATTTGCGACTTGTGAAGAAGTAAAAATTATCGAAGATGAGGTAATTTCCTGCTTTGAAGAAGGTGTTAAAAAAGTTATTTTTTCTAAAGAACCCGATATCGATGAACTTTTAAAAGATGTTTATTCTGAATAAATTTATTTTTATTAAAATTAAATAAAAGGTTAAAATTTTTTATATTGTTTCTTTAATTTGTAATTAAGCATAAAAAAATAATTAGCTAGAGATATAGTCCTAATTTTATATGTAAAAAGGTCAACAATATTAAATAGCGAGTTTGGCCATGTATAATTTTTAGTCATTGTGGTGATATTTATTTATATAGGCTCTTTTGGTGTTTTTTCATCTTTTTTACATTATTTACGTCAATAAAAGCAGTTGCTTTTCCAGTCAGTGTATTACAGTCCTAGTTACTTCATCCTGGTCATATTTTCGCCTCGTTCCAAAATAATACACTCTAAGACCTTTTTAGCACAATAGACTGGATGTATGATTTCAAGGGTGCGATAAATTTCTACCTCCTTAGTGTAATTCTTATGATTTTTGGTTACCACACTATCCCATATTGTTAGAAATTAATCTTATTTAATATTTATGTATTAGCTTCAATTCATTTGATAGAAAATAATACTTCATAAGCTTTTTTTTCAACTATTCCCATTCAAATATTATTGGTAGTATTTATCTCAAATATTATTATTTTTTTCATTTTCTTTTCAAATTCAAAAATATTGGCTAATTATAATACCATAATATTTGTAAGTATTTTTATGCCTACTCTTATTTCAGCTTTATCATTTTTCATGATCTCTTGTATTGAATTGTTCCGCAGCTTTTTTATTTTTTTAAAACCGTATTTAATACACAAGTAAAAGATGAATGCGTCTAATTACCTCGTTGTGTTTTTTGCACATTCAAACTCAACATTCGCTCACATTTAGTAGCTAAATGTCTCACATTCTTCCTATGAGATCCACAATGAAAATATTATCTCTTCTATTCGCAGAATACATTTTTATTTAGAGGGATTTAATGTTAAAACTTTAACTTTAAATAATATGATTTGAACTGTTTGCTGGTCAATTAATGTAATAGATGTAAAATGAGCGACAAATTAATATATAAAATTATTTCATGTTACTTGATATAAGTTTTTTGCCTAAAATAGTATTTATTTAATTTTTATAAATCATTGTAAACAATTTATTAAGGTCGTAAAAAAAGTAATAAAAAAATAGTATTTTAGTAAAAATTGACAAATATAACAGATACAATTTTATTTTTAAAATTATTTAAATATTTTGTACTACTACAAATTAGAAGTATATTCAAGTTAGGAAGAAAAATAATATACATTTGAATAAGTTTAACGACAAATTCTATTTTTAATTTACATAATGTACATCTAAAAGTAAAACCAAGCCTTGTAAATTTTGTTAACATCCCGCCATTTTTTCCCTCCACCAAATAGAAAAATAATTTTTTAATTAATATTATGAAAATTTTCAAACAGGTCTTTCATGATATTACAAACATTAATAAAAAGAATATTAAATTAACAATCCACAAATCCGCTCATAGAAGAAAATTATTAAGATGGCTGTATGAGGTTACAAGAGATTTTAAATACGAACAGTCTACATTTGGGATAGCAGTATATATTTTAGATACTTATACACAAAAATATGGATTTGAATTAAATAACTACCAGTTACTAGGAATAACATCCTTATTTATAGCTGCTAAGATGGAAGAAAGTAAACTTAAAGGAATTAATGATTACGTACAGGTTACAGACTGTTATGTCAAAGAAGAAGAAATATTATTAATGGAGCGACACATAATTAATATACATAGCTTTGACATCGTTACGCCGCACTTCTACCTAAAATCATGGCATCTAGAAAAAATGTCAAAAAAACTGTCTTTAGCTGAAAAGCGTGAACTCTTATTCTCCACATTTGCTTATTTTTTAGAAATGTCTACCTGTAAAAAAAGTATGTATTCTATTTTTTTAGATGGAATTAAAGAAGCAGAAAATATTTTGGCTGGGCATCAAATTCCAAAAGATTTGCAATTTTATATCAATAATAATAGGATTACACGCCATATAAAATCTAGACTTGTAATTAATAAATAGATCTATTTAATATAAACTGTATTTTAATATTTCATGTTAATTTTATATCTCTGAGAAATTGCACTATCAAAAAAGTTAATAGAAGTTACAAGGTTACTGATTTTTATTAACATTCATAAAAATTTTTTCTTTAAATAAATCATAAACGACCCTTTTATGTACTATAAGACAAAACCACAGGATGAAAACGAATACCAAAAAATACAAATTGATAATAAAATTTTTTATACATTAAAAAGCAAAGAAAACTCGCCAGTAAAAAAGAAAAAAAGATATTCAGATCTACTTAAGGATCCTTTGTATATCCAACAGGATTTATATCGAAAATTAAATATGATTAAACATTTTAGGAATAAGAATGGAGATCTTTTTAGTCTAATAGATAAATGGAAGTCACTCATTGATGAATGTATTATTCTAATGAAAAGAGATTATGAGGTGTCTGTACAAGAATTGTTTAATTTATTTAGACTTGAAGACTATGGATTTAATATAGAAAATTACGAATAAATAAAAAAGTGCATGTAATATTAAGTGAGGTTTAAAAATAAATGTAATAAATAAAAAATTGTAGTGAAATAAATAAAAAAGTGTATTGTATAATTTTAAATTGGAGGGGTGTCTTCTTCATCATCTGAATAGCATCTTTCTCTGTAATCTAACTCTACTGCTTCTTCATCATCCATAAACATCTCTGGTTTACTTTCAAAAAGCTCTAAACCTTTTGGTCCAGAAGATAAAGCTTGAATTTTCTTTTGATGTTCCATTTCTTCTTCGACTTTTTTTTCTTTCCATTGGTTAAATGTTTCTTCTGTCAATGGAGTTAAATTGTCCCCAAGAGATTGTCTGCTAAATTCAAGATATTCTTCTAAACTTAATTCTGTTGTTGCATCTCCTTGTAAATCTATAAGTTTATGTATATCATTACATTTTGGGAATGGACATTTCCACGAACTATTAAATTCATTATTATTAATAGCATCTAACAAGAATCTACACACATGCCTAGGGCCTTTATTTGCGACTTCTGATGCGCCATTTTCAACTTTTTTAATTGTTTCATGTGCAAATCTACAGTTATCTCCTTCTTTACAAACTTTATTAATAAAATTAATACATTGAACTGTTTTGGGATCAACACCTACAGGAATTTTTTGTATAACTGCTGTAACTTCTTTTTTAACTTTAGTCTTTTTAAGCTCCGCGTCTTTAATACGTAAAGCTTCTATTTGTTTCTCTAGTGCTGCCTTCTGTTTTTTATTTTTTAAGCCAAACATTTTTTCTTCTATTTCTTTAATTTGTGCTTTTAGATCTTTAGTAGTTGGGTTTTGTTTCTTTGCCATAAAGGGTATATTTTAAAAAATAAAAATTTTATTAATCGTGCAAATGAATAGTAACCTCTTTAATTCATAACGCACTTGTAAAGTAAATTTTTAAAGTTTCTATTCTTACCAAATGCACCGTTTCTCTCTTCTTTTCCTACGCCAATGTAAACTACATTATTAACTGTTTCTATAAAATTAATAATCCCATATAAAAAAACTTCTTCAATTAGTTTCATCTCGAAATTAGAAATTTTAAAAATATAAAAAACTCCATTTTCACAACCTACCAAAAGCTTATCACCTAAAATTTTTAAGCAGCTTACCGGCGAATTTAATTCAAGCTTATTAATTATTCTATCTTTTTCAGTATCATATAAAAAAATACCATTATCAGTACCTAATACAAGTGTTTTTTTACTTAAAAAACAACAAGAAGTCGTAAAATCAATATTTTGTATTTTAAGTTTCCCCGTCTTAATATCTATCATTATAAATTTATTGTTAGCAATAAAAAGTTTTCCTTTAATGTCATCAACAATTTCTAATATTTTTGCAGTACAACCATACAACATTCTTATCGGATTAAAATCAAATGTAGAATACAAAACTTTACCACCAGTAAGGCCTAATAAATATTTAGTATTATTATCCGTTTTCTTAATGTATGATATGTCATATTTAATGTTTATATAGTGTTTCTTATCAGTTAATATATTATATTTACAAACAGATTTATTTTTTGACAAGCAAATTAATGTATGACCATCTTGTATAATACTATTAATATTTTCTTTAAATACAATTGATCTTTGTTTTGACAAGTTTAAATTTGTCTCAATAACTTTATTACTTTTAGTAGAGACGAATATTTTAGAATCTATAATTACTAAATTAAGCGGAGACTTTAGTAATTTAATTTTCTTTTGAATTATTAACGGCATCGGGGTTAAAAAAATAGAAGTTTTGTGATCAAATTCGACAAAATTAAAAATATAAGAACATAACTTTTATGATTTATAAAGTAACAAAGGAAATTTAAGTAACACGGGAAAAAAATAGGTGTTTTATCAAATTGTCCTAAAGTATTTTTCAAAAAAATAAAATTGAAATAAGTTTGTAACAGTTAACAGTTTAATTGAACATCAGAAAAAAAATTATATCTGAAAAAATTATACATTATATTATTTAATTAAATGCTAAAGTTTAAATATAATATACAAATGTCTTATAAGAACTAGTTTAGCATATAATTTATATTACATATATATTTTGTTTATATTAAAGAGATAATACTAATAGCGATAGTATTAATGTAAGCAAAAGTATGTAGATCTGATAAATCTTTGTTTTATGTTGGATCTTACGAACTTCTGTATCATATTTAGATTTTAAACTATTTACTTCGCCATACAATCTCAAAAAAAATATTGACAATTCGTTATCAAGACCATATTGTATACTTCTATTAAGACTTCGTAAATTAAGGTATAACAGATTTTTTTCATCATCACTTAAATTGTTTATGTAGAGACTAAGGTCTGTCATATGGGGATTGATTTTGATTTTTTAATTAATAATTACATGTGTTTGATTTATTTGACATTTAACTAAAAAATAAAACAAAAAAATTTTTATATCAAATAGCTTATAAATTTGCAAGAAATGTTATGGATTTTATACATTTGTTTAATAACAAAAATTAGCATATATATAATTTATTTGTCTTATTGATTATTTCTTATTTTAGAAATATTAGTTCGTCAGGTTATTTAAGTAGCATGCAGATTTTTTTAGATTACATATACAGCACTATTAAAAAAATTAGCATTGATTTTAAAGGTTAAATGATTTTCAAGCAGCCATTAATCTGACAAAAAAATAATTAAAAAATTTCGCTAGTAAAATTCTTTGCTAGGATTTTTTTAAAATTTAAAAATTTTAACATGCGAATTTGTTATATTCGTGGTAACTATGTATTTATTTTATTAGACAATAAGATTATGCCTTAAATTTTATTTGCAGCCTATATTTAATACGATAATTTCTATTATACATTTAAATTTTTTGAAAGTAATCGTTCTATTAAATAGACAATTTATCTTTATGTTTATTGTTTTGTTAAGTTTAATTCTGACGCTGTATAAATTTAAACATATAGATTTTTTAAAAAATTTATCTGCAATTATTGGAACAAAATATGAGTAAGTTTATATTTTTGTTAATTAATTGTATTTATATACAAAACTTTATCGTAATTATTTTTAAAAATAAGGAACATGTTACATTAACTACAAATAAAATTTCTAAAAATAAAAACTTTTAATGATCTTTAATTTAATAAAGAACCACTATCAAAGCTTGGTAAACTACGAATTGGTACATAATTTACCTCAATCAAATCGGAAGATTTATTAAAATCATCATTCGCGAAATCATTTTCAACTACTTGATAAAATAAACGCTCTTTCTTTTTCAACTCTTCCAACATCCTAATATCATCAACAACTTTTTCCATGACACGATTAATCTTGTTTAAATCAAATAATTGAGTTATTTCCCAGATACAATTAGGATTAGTCTTAATATCAATGGCTTTAAACAGTTCAAAATAGAATTCTCGAGTTTTTTCATCCTTTATATCTAAAAAAGAACTTTTCCTAATTTTGTAGATTAAAGGATAACTTTTTAAAGCCAAGAGTTTCACAAATCTTTTTCTTATATCTTTATACTCGTTATTAAAGTCATTAGATACAAAGTTACGAACATATTCTTGAAAAAGAGGTAGATTTCCTTGGAAATAAATTTTTTTAGGAAACAGCCTACTAAAACTTTGTTGAACGCCAACACTCGCTTCAAATGTATAAAAAAATAATTTAGAAACTTGATTAATTTCATTTAAATCAACATTGGTGTTTGGCTTTTGATCAACTGTCAAAACATACCTAAATGGACAATTGCTGTACTCTGAAAGAAACTCATCATCTTTTAAACTGCGTTTTACGATTCCATCTTTATCCTTAGCAATACTTTTTCCTTTTTTAGCTTGAAAAACAAAAGAATGATTTTTTTCTTTTGTTACAAAATCTTGAATATTGTTGCAATTGATAAAAACGATAAAAATTGTCAAAAAAAACATTGGGGTTGTTTATTTTTTAAAATTTATATTAAAATTAATTAATTTTAATATTTACTTTAATAAACTTAAAAATCTTTATTTTTAAAACTATTTATTTTATCTAGAATTACACATCTTTTTTTAAAATTTTTTATGCAAATTAATTTTTTAGATTTCATGATATGCGCTGCACGAAGTATTAAAAAAATGATTAATATCCTTTAATTTTTTAAGTTGTAGACAATTAATAGCAGAATTATTTGCATTTTTGAGTTGCACGAAAAAATTTACAAAATTACATAATATATGAAATTAAATTAAATTTAAAGTGATTTTAAAATTTTTATATAACAAAAGCATATTATATATTTGTTAATTTTTTACATAATTTAAGCGTGAGGTATGCAAATAAATGTTTACATACGTCATGGATTTTGAGAATGACAAAATTTACTAATTAGATAACTAGTTGACAAATTTTTGTAAAAAAATTGTTTTTTGTTTAACGATAAATTAAACTGTTACTGTAAGACATCTTAAATACAATTGTGCTTATTACAAGTATAAACTTTAATCACAAATTATGTTTTTTAAAATATTTAGATATTTAAATTATTAATTGTATAAAAATTTTTTAAAAAGTTTAAAGAACGAAAAAATAAAATTTAATATCATATGCCTAATAAATAATTTCTACACTTGTCCTCATCAGATTCGAGAATTATTCTTAAATCAATATAATAAATTTTAATGTATTTCATATTAAACTATAATCAAACATTTTAGATAAATAAATACTTTTATTTTTCACCTAAAAAGACTAGCATTCAAATAATTTTTATAGTCTAGCAATAATATGTTTTTTTTAAAATTAATACACCAATAAAATCAAAATTATTTATTTATTTTCAAATGCTGCATTAATCTCTGATTTATATTTGCTAATAATTAAATCTTCGCTTTCTGTTTTGATGTAAATTATACCAAGGAAAGCCGAAGAAAATACCATCATTACTGTAGAAAAACATACCAAAGGAATAGAAACACTAACAAGTATAGATTTAAGAATTATCAAGTCGTTTAAATGAATTTTAGCAAGTAATATTGAAGGCCCAAGACAAATACTTGTGACTGAAACCTGTGTTATAAACAACGAAATGTTCAAAGCCGTCATCCCAATTGCAGCAATAGGATTTTGCCTCATAGATATATCATAAGACTTTTTAACCGATTTAACGTATCCCCCACCATGTATTGCTATGTAAGGAAGAGTTAACGTGTTTATAAATTTAATTATGTCTTCTAAAAGACTTAATAGTAAAGCCATAATACATAAAATAATGGCAATCATATCGCCTTCTTCCTTATTTCTTGACCTCCTGCGCTTTTCTTGATTTACAAAAAATCTCAACGTCGATACTGCTGCAACTACCAGTCCTGCAAAGCATATACTACCCAATGCATACATTGTATTTTTTATCACTGATGACATTCTTGAATGTTCTCCAAATTCCACTAAATTGTATGATACAACGGATGTTACATAAACTTTAAAAAAATATAGAGCATTAATAAAAGTCCAAAAAAGACTCAGAACATAAAAAAAAGAAAAAATATTATCCTGCATTTTTGCCTGATGTAGTGATAATTCAATTCTTAGTTGTGTCATTAAAAAAATCTGTAGAATTATCAGTGAAAGGCACATAATTATTCCTATTAAGGCAGTAAAAAAATTTTCTATCATAATTTTTACACCAATACACATTGTCTTGCCCACAACACCAAGATAACACCAATTTTTATATACAAACGCTGCCCAAAGAAATATAGCAAATAATGAATAAAATAATGACATTGTACTTAACTCAAAAAAAAGCGTTGTAGCCATCAGAACTAAAGGAAATGTACAAACTGTTGCTTTTAAGAATAAAACGGGAATAAACCGAAATCCTACAAAATTAATAGTTATTGCCACAAGCACAACAATAGAGCAAAATAAGCCGTTTTCAATTATTGGCTTAGTGAAAGACAAATTTAATAAGAAGTTTTTCTCTTTGACAATTGCATATGTAGAAAATCCTAAAAATGTTATTGCATATAGTATAAACGCCCATGAATCATGAAATTTTCTTGATTTTGATATGTAGCTAGAAGTTTCTTGTGTTGAATTCATAACCCTTGTTTACTAATTTTATTTTTATTTATAAATAGTTTCCTTTTAGAACAAATAATAAAAAAGAGAAATTTAAAATTTACTAAAGCTTAATTTTGAAAAAAATTAAATATTTAACGCTTTAATTAAAACATTTACTTTTTTTAGTAAATGCACTTAAATATGTTTATTTACAAAAAACAAATTTGATATTAAGTTTCGAAAAACGTGTAATTAAAGTTTTTTATAAAAATTTGACTTAAGATTTTATTTTGAAAAATTGTTATTTTTTCAGACAAAAATGTAATACTAATAATATAAATACAAAATTCATATGAAAAGATGAAAAATCCAACATTTCAAAAATTAGCGAAATTATTAATTTGCAAATTACTTTATTCACAGTGTAAGACAAAAATGTAAAATGTGATGTTTTTGTAATAAAAAGCTAATGTTAATTCTTAATTTTTATCCTCAAATGTTTGAAGGTCTAAATAAATTATACTTAGAAAACCATAATATAAAAAAGTCGTAATTTTTTATTATTCGCTTTCTAAGCTATACCAATAATATGCATCCCTATAAACCTCATACATAAAATCAAACACCTCCCAATCATCATCGTCTGTATCAAAAAATTGAAAAAAAATACATTTATCGTTATTTTTCCATATAACCTTAGTAGACTCAATTTCATTTGCTCCCATTTTCTTCTCAAGATATTCATTCTCAATATATTCATTAGGAAATAGTTCTATTTTTATACAACAAATATACTCCTTTCTATATTCGACTTTAAAAGATTTAAGCCATGATAGATCTAATTTAGAGTCAATATATGGCAAAATTTCTTCATTAACTCCAAAATTTTCAAATGCTTTGGTCCAAAACTCAGTAAAAAGACCGTCCTCTTGTTTAGACAACAATAAATCATCTCTCTGATTGAGAAGATTTTTAATTCTATTAAAACCTTCAATAGCCAATTCAAATTCTTTTTGGGCTTGTAATGTGTGTTGTTTATCAAGCTCTTGTTGTATGTCTTCTAAAACAGTAAGATCATACATAGGGGTAAAATTATTAAATCGTTTTCTTAAATAAAACATTCTACCAACTCAGTAATTTTATTATGTTTAGTTAATCGTTAAGTCTGAAAATAAAAAACAAGAAAAAATATTACGATAATATTCTAAAGGCACATGTCTGTTATTATTTACCCACATATCATTTATTTTAATTTATTTTACTATAAATATTAATTTCTATTTTATTCAATCGGAATTACGAAGAAGAGGAATTATTTTCTAATAAATTTCTTGACTTAAAGTAGCTGCAGTTGTTGTAATGTCACAATATGAAAAATAACAATTTAAAACATAAATTAAAAAAATTATTTATAGTTTAAAAGTCTAAAAATGAATATGTATGACAATTAAACTAATATATTGCATAAGTTTTGTGCTTTTATAGAAAATACAGTATCTTTGATAATATTTACCAATACAAATCAAATTTTGACTTCTTAAGTGATGTGTTAGATATATAATGTGTAGTAAAGCCTTTATATAAAAAAAGAATACAACCTGTTATGATCCATGACTTAATTATTATTTGCTTGTTTACATAACTTTGCAATTACTTTCTTAAGGTTACAATTACAGTTATTTGTATAACATAAGTGAATTATTTTATGTATGTATTAAATCATTGTTTGTTTGTTTTAATTTATTTATAACTATAAATAAGTTTAAGGCAAATACCCATAAGATAGTCTATTAACATGAAAGATTATTATTACTTCCGGAAATAGCTGGCAGTAGATTATATCCTTTGGGTAGTATTCGACCAAACTACCAAAATTAAAAAACTTTTTATTTTTAATTGTTTATTTAATTCCATCTTTTAAAAATTTTTTATCTATTTAAAGCTTTTGTTTTAGATGTATATAAACAAATAGACACGAACCAATTATTTTTTAAGATTCATGTTTAATCAGTTTCATTTTGTAACATGGTTTTTTACGTCCTCAATTAATACAAAGAAACATGTTATGGTTATCCATAACAATTGCAATTAAAATAAACGTAATTCTTTTTAAAGTTTTTCAACCCCCGATACAACAAAACTAAATTTTTAAATTTGTTTGTAAATAATTAGTTTTTTATAATCGAATAAATATTAAACAGCTCCAAAAAATGTGCAATAGAGGTGGCGTAATTTTTAGGGAAGCGCCCGGTGGAGAAGTATTTTTCATTCACACTAATGCAATAGAGCTAAATGCTACCTTATATTTGTTTGTATCTCTGAAATTAATGTTATTTAACTGTTAAATTATTTATTTATTAATTTAATTGTCCATTACAAATATATAATGTTTATTGGGGCTCGAGCCTACTTATGGTTTTATTCGTTTTCTTATTACACAATTATGATATATTACAAACAAATACTTAAATTAATTAAATAAAGAAAATATACATGTGAAATGAGTTATTACCACAGAAGGTTTCAAGTTTAGTATGATAATATGAAACCCAACTTAAACGCCTTTATTAAAATTTACAACAATATTTCTACCATTGTAAAGTCACTGATGATATTAATAGGAAAGGAAAAAATTGTAACTTGTTAAAAAATCATTTCTTTTTTTTTGTTTTTTATAAAAGCAAACATAAGGTAAGATGCAAATTTATACTTATGAGACGTAATTAATAAGCTAAATTGTATGTAGTATGGGTTTAAAAATCAACCCAGTTTTAATAAATAATAGTTTACTTAGTATATTTGTTTCAATTAAACTTTCGAAATTTATGTCATTTCATTCTATTATTATCAAAAATATGGGTTTATGAGAAATGTAAGTATATATCTAGTTCAGTCAAATATCTTTTCATATATTAACATTAAGATATTTGATATATTATTTTCTCACAACACATTCATTCTCATTTTAAAAAGTTTTCTGCTCTAAAGTAAAATCTAGCAAGACATGTATTTCATGTAATTTATCAGAAATAAAATAAATGATCTATATGCCAGAAACATCATTAACTAAATTTTTACATCAATTGCAGTAATGACTGTAGTCTAAAACGTGATAAAAATTTTGTCTTGAAAGCTTTAATACGGGCTTAGACTTATAAGCTTGAGTAAAATAAGATCAAAAAAAAAGACACCAGAACTATGGCTTATTATATGATTTTGTCTGAGTAAAAATTGTCGCACATAAAATGTGTACATTTGAAAAGTTTTTTTTTTAAATATTTCCATTCGTGATTGTACTTTTTTAAACATCCGTTTTATATTTTTTTCGATTTAAAAATATAAAAAATATGTGTCGCCTTATACAAATAAGAATAAAAGCTCAAATTTAATATAACATCATTATTGTTTAAATTAATGTTTTCTAGTAATTATTTTTTTTACATAGTTCAGAATCATGTAAAACATTGTTATTGTAAAAACTTTTTTATTAATATTTTTTATGTAAACAATTCTTCTTTTACTTGTATAAAATTATAGTTCAAATTAAATATACAATCATCATTATCTATTGAAATATATTACAAAAGATAAGTAAATTAAAATATAAAAATATCATAGGGATTCTAAAAAACTTGTAGTTACAGCTAGCTTATCGAAAATAAATTTTTTATATTTAAAGTTAAGTATTTCTTAAACTTTTTTTTTAAATTTAAGGGTAATTTGCAGTTTGTTTCAAAATTAAAATTTAATTATGCTTGCATTATCTTTTTAATAACACAATTGTTATGCATAAATGTGACTTAAAAAAACTTCCGTTGTAATAATTAAATTGATATATTGAAATTTTAGTCTTCCTTTAAAAAAATTTGGATACTGAAGATATTATATTTTTTATCAGAGATAAAAATGTGTGTTTTTAAAATTTAGAGTTATACAAACACTGTACCTTCAAACTACTTTTACTTTTCTTTTTTAAAAATATTTTAAGTTATAAAATTGCAATATTTGAGCAAAAAAATATTTTTGTAATAAAATCAAAAATTAATTAGATTTGCGTCAACAAACAAAATAAATACTGAAGAACTTTTAAAAAAATTTAGTGTAAATTTTTAAAACAATTGGCTGTAGTAAAATAGCAAGTTTGATTTCTATAAAAATTCAAAATTTTAAAAGTTCTTGACATTAAAAAATAGATTATATTACTTATTACACGCAAAAATACGATTATTTTAAAGTTTACATGTATTTATTGAGTCAATCAGTAGTTGAAGAAAAATTTTTATTAAGATAATATGACGAATTCGAATAATCTTAGTGAAGCAAAATAAGCATACTACTTGTTTTAAAAATAAAAAACTAGAATCAATATAAGCTTCTTAGTTATATTTAAAATACATCAAAGCATAATAAAAATAAGAAATAAATTATTTTAGAGCTAACATAGCACATACATTCTAGTAGTTCCAAAAAGCAATAAGATCAAGTTTTTAATACATATATTTTTATTTATACATATGATAATACTTGATCATAAAAGTACAATAATTTATGATAGTAAAATATTATTTGGTGCTAAAAAAAATTAGCTCATTCTAGAAAATTATCTCACTTTACGATTAAGGTTAAGAGTGATATTGTACAGGACCTTATTTTTAGATTTATTACTTTTATACTAACTATGTATTCTTTATAAAGCATTAATAAAACAATCATGAACAAATAGTTTAAAAAAAACATTAAATCTTTATTTATTTTTTAAGATTGTTTAACAAATATTTTGAATTACAAAAAACATATATCCATAGTGTCATTTTTAATACTGATGCCGAATTTGATCTAATTTTAAGCAACAAGCTATAAATTTTAATAAATAAAAGAAATATGTTAAGAACTAAAGATTATGTTATTAGATCTATTTAATTTTTTTTATTGTGTCACATTTTTTAAATTTTTATGAATAATAACAACTTGTAAAATGTTTTAAAAGGATGTTAACCTTTATAAAATTCACTTTATTGCAGGTTTTATCAATCTTTTATTTACGTCAATTTGTACATTTTTTTTGACTTATGTAGTAAATTTTTTTTCAACAATCAAGCAGTTTTTAACACTTTTAAAGGCTGGTAAATAGTTTAAAATTATTCAATTTTTAAAGTTCACTCAATGCTGGTTTTTTATATTAATTTTTTTTATGTTATTAATTTCTAATTCCTTTGTAAAAAGTTTATTTACATTTTTCAATCAATAAAACAAAAGGTATAAACACCTTTCTAAACATTTCAAATTTTTTTTAACCTTTAAATAAAATTATAACCCCTAATGACTTCCTTGGTTTTTTCCTAGTCGATAGTAGTTTAGCACCAAAACAAGCTGAACTTAATACCATCCAAGAAAACTCACTGCAATCTAATTTTTCTTATACATATTAAGAATTCTTGATAACTTAGCTACAATAAAAAATTCAACATATTTCTTTCAGTACAACAGTCCAGAGATGCTAATATTACACAAGAGGAACTAGAAGATTTTACAAAAAGAATAATGATATTTTACAATTTTAAGACAAGACAAAACCAATTACTGACAAAGACACGTGGGAAAGGTTACATGATTATAAAATAAGTCATTAAGATTAGTTTATATTTATGGACGCCTTAGTGTAGCTTTAAAAAACATGTTTTTGCAGATTATTCCCGGTCAATTTTTATTCGTAATATCAGGATTTTTTATTTATTTGATATTTAAACAGAATAGTAAAATTTTTTTAGTTCTGATGCTTTAAGAGGAACCAAAATTTTTTTTTATATAAAAAAGGCTTCGTGTAAAAAGTTATTTTTGATTTCTTATTTTGGTAGAGCAAAAGGATAGAAGAAGATTTAGAATTTATCAAATGCATACCTGTGATTATATCAAAATAACTCGGTAGAAATTGCAAGAGAATTACTAGCATTTAGTTTTAGGCTTAGAGATATACTCCTAAAGATTAATAAATAAATGTTGATACATTGTTTTTACAAGTAATCAGATTAAATGACAATCGTGATGCGAGATGAAAATTAGAAATTTAAAATAAAACTAT